AATGTTATTTCTAGATTTTTGATTGGCGAAAAGTGGAATTTTTTGTGCTCCAAAAATTGCATCTTTGTTTTGGAATAGATACTGGTTCCATAATGGATTCTGTTACTATGGAAGCTTATAGATTTCTTCAATATGAATCGCTCCTTACACATGAAGTTTATATAAAAGGTAAAAATATATATAAATAAATATAAATATATATATATATATATATATTAATTAAATATATATATATATATTAATATATATAAATATAAATATATAAATATATATATATATATATTTAAATTATCAATTTTTTAAGCAAAAAATAAAAAAAATGACTATATAAAAGAGGTTGATGAAAAATAAAATCATTCACTTTTATTTTATCTATATAATTTATTTAAGAAATTTATTTGTGAAATTAATTTGTATTTTACAATTTATTTTATCATAGCACCTGTTATATTGCGTATGTTGCAACATGTAATTACTGATGATGTGTTTCGAAATGGTATCATTATATATTTGGCCACGCAGTAAGTGTGTAATCACAATATTAAATATCATAGCTGTAATTATTTATGTAATCGGTATTGTTATTTAATTATAGTACTTATTGTATCATAGATCTTATATTTATTGTATTATTGTTTAATTAAATCAGTTTTAAATGATATTAGATTTTAGGTTTTTACATGTAAAAATTATATTGTACATTAATTTTCATTGATATAATTAAATTGGTAAATTTACATTTATATTTTTCTATGTAGAATTATGGCGTCGTTAAGAATAATATTATTTTTCAAATATAGTAAATTTGGTTCGGTGACATCTGACGATCTGTGGATCGCTTTACAAGATGCCCTAGATAAATCGAAAGTTCCGCATGACAATTACAAAATAAAAGAAGTGATGGATACATGGATAAAGCAAAAATCTTATCCTTTGCTGAATGTGACAAGAAATTATACAACTGGTGAAGTGATAATATCGCAAAGACCCAATCATAACTTAACTGATATCGATATTAATATTAAATGGTGGGTACCTGTGACTTTTGCTACGCAAACAAATCCGAATTTTTCCAATACTTTGCCTAGGTATTGGCTGAGGCCACAAGACCAAAATATAAGTTTTCAAATTAATACAAATGATTGGATTATTGTTAATTTACAACAAACCGGTAAGTACCTTTTAATAAGTTAATTATATCTCTCTATATATATATATATATATATTATATATAGTATATATTATTATTTATTTTACATCACTCTCAATAAGCATCCAAAAATCTGTAAAAAACTTTATCGTGTTCAAATTAATTTCATTATAAATTAATATAACTATTAATCCTTATCGTACATATCTTTTATATTGTTCTATAATAGTATTAGTTTTAATATT